GAGCAGATAGAATCGACCTCCATACCTTTAGCGATCAGCCATGAAGTCGTGGGCGTAACTTGGAGAGATTGTAACCACATTATGGCACTCTGTTTTTGTGAGGGCAGTTTTTTTAGAGCTTTCCATAGTTTTAGTAGGTCTGGACCATGGACGCTATGAGGCTGGGAGACAGACCACCTGCTCAGCGCCGTAGAAGTTGGTCTTTTTACCACTCCCAACTGTTGGTACTGAACACTGGTTTTCGTCTTGTACTGGGAAAAGGGGATAAACTTCGCCAGAGGGTCTTGTAGATCCCAACCTATCAGAAGCGGTTCCACTCGGCCCTGAGCAGGCTTAAAGGGGGTCAGGGAGTGAGAGTCGGACCTTGAGTGTGCCTGGACTCTGACTTCTGAGAGGCCCACTGTAGTTGGGATTACACTATCAGCTTCGAGTCTCAACAGTCCCGGTTTCTGCTTCTTATCCATCAAAGTCCAATTCTGGACCTTTATTCCGGAGTTCAACTCTGGGCCTAAGACTCTCCAGAACTTGTCCTCCTCGTCTGGGTTCTCCAGCCATGTGCCTTGTGAATGTTCACTGTCTAATCTCAGAAGGTACTCCCAGTGGGGAGGCAAGGCCGCATGGATTCTTTGGAGGTTTCTATGAGTGTTACAAAGTCGAGGCAGTTTGGAGCGGATGTTACTAAATGATGACCAGGTCGATTCACTTTCGTCCCACATGTCTCTGACCAAGAAAACTCCTTTTCTCTACCCAAGCCCTGCCAAAAGTCCCTGGACTGCCGTCCGCGGGGAAGGGGGAGTTATTAAGGTCTCGGATCAGGTTGTTGTCAAATAGGATCTGATTTAATATTTCCAGTTTTGTAGATGGTTCTTTGGAGATGTTGGGGAACAGTTTGTTCCAGGCAAAAATAATACTTTTCCACACCTTGGAACTCGGCCTGCGGGTGCAGAAGGATTTGATCAGGAAGCACCACCAGACGTGCGGGCCTTCCTTCAGAGACCATTCCCTGCATAGTATGTATTCCGCCAACCTTTTCCACCAAGCGTCTTCAGAGCCAAACAGCGCCAATATGGGCCATCTGGCCAGGAGTGCCAAGTTTTGTTGCTTAGGGTCAAGTATGCCTAGGCCGCCCTGATCTTGAGGGCAAGTGACTGTCTCCCATGCCACCTTTACTATGAAGCCGTGGTGGTCTGCTGCCGAGGGCTTCCATATGTAACGTGCGGTTGCACGTTTGATGTTTCTGTAGGTTGACTCCCCTAGTAGGTGGACCACTAGAGGGAACCACAACAAGGAGAAGGCTGCAGAGGAGAGGACTAGAGCACGTCCAAAGAGGGAAAAACAGTGACTTCTTACCCATCCAGAGATTCGGGCAGCTACTTTTTCTCCCAAAATGGAGTCTTGAGCTTCAGTATGAGTCGGTTAAGGAAACTTGAACACCGAGAAAGCGGTCGGAGCTCTTGGCTGGAACCTTTTTCAGGCCCCAATCTACTGACAAGGTGTGGGAGGGCGGCAAAAAATAGACGGACTTTCCCCAGTTAATGTCTGCTTCTGATAGTTCGCAGTAGGAATCCAGTATCGATCTCAAAAGTCCCAAGGGACTGAGGGCTGTTAGCGCTGGCCACAGTGAGGTCATCGGCTATTGCACCCCCTTTCCATTGAATGGAGGAGGACAGGTGCAGGCCTTTTATATCCTCGTTAAACCTGATGTTATCAAGCAAGACCTCTAATTGGATCACGAATAGCAGCGGGGCCACGAAGAGAGCGGGTGATATTTTTCCATTGAGGAGGACCACAGAGGAAGAGTCTGTGTAGAGTGCCCGGACCTAGTTGCAGAAACCCCTTCCGAACCCTAACCTTTTCAATGTTGTGAATATGAAAGGCCAGCCTAGCCTGTCGTAGGCTTTCTCCATATCTAGGAGGAGGATGGCAACGTTTCTGTCTTCTTTCCCTACTATTTCCAGGGCCTGGGTGGTTGACCTATCATGACCGGAAGGAATTCAGCCAGACTCGACTCTCAAGGCAAGGGTTTTGGCAAGCAACTTGTAGGCCACATTGTGGACTTAATGGGGCGGTAGTTGCGTACCTCCCTTTTGTTCCCCTTTGTATAGAGCAGAGAGATTATCCCTTTAGTCCAGTTCTTAGGGAGGGAGCCCGTACCGAGGGCGTTGTTGTAGATCTGAGTGAATAGTGGGGCAAAGGCTTCCCAACAGCTAGTGAATCCAGGGAGGCCATCCAAGCCCGGGCACTTTCCCAATGCCATGCTTTTGGCTGCCCGGTGAATCTCCTCTGCGGAGAGCGGGGTGTCCAATAGGATACTGCCGCCTGTGGGGAGGTTCACCTTGGTTCTATCCCAAAAGGAAGAAGTTCTTGAGAGGTCAGTGTATGCCTTATCGTATGGTCGAATGGAGGTGACTATGTCTTGGTGGTAGGCCAAGGCATAAGAACACATGTCGGTTGTGCTTGTGGCTATTTGGGCATTAGGCAGAAAGGGGTGGGCCAGTTCTAGCAATCGTGGTCTGGCCTGTTTGAGTATCAGGGAGCGAAAAGTGATTTTCGTCATTCTGTCATACCCAATTACCGCTCTTAGTTTAAGCCAGTCAAGCCATTCCTACTGTTTTTTCAGTTCCACTGATTCAGGGGTTACCAATAAGTGATTCCGTTTTTCAGACCAGTAGTAGTCAGAGAACGGGTTTTTGCCCATATTAAGTTCCGCCTCCTTGATTTCGAGAAAGCGTACGATCAAGTTAACTGGTCTTTCCTGCAATCGTGTATGGAAAAAATGGGAATAGGTCCAAATTTTCGAAAATGGGTGAGAGTCCTGTATAATGACGCACAGGGTTTAGTCCAAGTCAACGGATTCCTGTCCAACCCCTACAGAATGACCAGGTCAGTAAGACAAGGAGACCCGCTGGCGGCACCTRTCTTTCTCTTTGTCATGGAAGCCATTGCTTCATTCCTCAGAAAAGATGAATCCATAGAACGCTTAGAGGGCATCAAAGATGAAAGAGGCCACCCACTTCAKCTCCCGACCACCCTCCTTTTCGCAGATGACCTAACCGTCCTCATTAGAGYTTCTGATTCTTCCTTCCAAGCATTAATAAGAGCAATGCAAGCTTTCCAACTAGCCTCAGAAATGAAAGTGAACTGGAGGAAAACAATAGGCTGGTGGCTATCARACACCCAACCCCCASTAGAAAGCACGCCAGAAGGAATGCAGTGGACAGATCCCTCTTCCCCCATGCGCTTCCTRGGCATAAACCTCAGCCTCAAAGGCTGTCACCCTGCCTCGGCAGACACCCTCATGTCCTCAATGATAAACAGGATGCACTGYTGGCAAGGCGTTCACACCTCACTCTTAGGCAGGGCACTAGCGCTAAACAACTCTATCCTGGCAATGATGTGGTATGTAACCACCATATGGTTCCCGTCCCAGGACTTCCAAAAACAAATACGTAAAAGAGCAGCAGCGTTCCTCTGGACTGGAAACCCGGATAACCAGCACTTCATCCACAAAGTAGCATGGCAAATAGTCACACAACCCAAAAACAAAGGAGGTCTATAAATCATCGATCCGGCTACCCAATTCCAAGCCCTTCATATCAAATGGATTATCAGACTTACCCTTCAAGGAAATCTACCCTGGATTAAGTGTGTCTGTTTGTCTTTCTGAAAGTCGGCCTTCAGTGGATCACATTTCTTTTTTTTATTTTTAAGGCTAATTCTTTTAAGCCCAACCAATTCAATTACCTGTCAAATCTGGACAGGACAGCCTTTCAGGCCTTTTTTATTGTCATTATGAGGGTTGTCGGCATTCGGGACGGGCCGAACTCCCGAACCTGAACGCCCGAACGTTCGGCACCCCCTCTCGACGCATTCGGCCGTTCGGTCGTTCGGCCGAACGCGGACCCAAAAATAAATAAATAAATAATTTAAAATAAATAAATAAATAAATAAATCAAATAAATCCAAAAAATCTGAAAAAAATATATGTTAAGAATAAACTAAACAACATTTGCCTCAACGTTACATCCAAATTCTTTACCCAATTTGAAATAAAAATTAAAATTATCAAATACTAAAAATAAATAATAATAATGAAAATTAGAAAAAATAAAACGAGAATGACATTATTGAGTGGGCGACACCGCCATCTTTGGCGATTTTTCATTTGTTTTTGGCTGTGACAAATGCCATGAAAATTTATATATGTGTATCTTACATAATAGAGAATCTACAAATAAAGTTTGAAAAAATAATATTTCTTTTCATGCCCCGAAATAAAGGAAAAACAAAAAGCAAAAAGAGAGAAAAAACAAATTAGTGAGTGGGCAAGCAAGTTTTGACACCACCATCTTTGAGGATTTTTCATTTTTTGTTGGCTGAACAGAATGGCTTCAAAATTAAGAGGGAGATACCTTACATCACAAGGAACTCACAAAAACAATTTCAGAAAAAGCAAATAATATTTAGGTGTCAAAATATTTTTTTGCGGGGTCCGAACCCCTTCAAGTTCGAGCCCCGTACGGGGACCCGAACGCCCGAACGTTCGGGGGTCAGCTTAGGGGCCTCCGTACGTTCGGCCTGGCAACCCTGGTCATTATAGTATTACGGGGAACCCTGTAGCAGCCACATCCGTGATCTGGATAATAAATTTTATACTAAGAAATAGTACAAATGGGCTAAATCTAGGCCCAGCATCTGTAGTTCACATACCCAGCTGCTGCTGCTGCTGCTGCTGCTGCCGATAGGTCATGGGATGATGTGTGATGGAGATTTCTGGTCCATGTCACATACTTTTTTGGAACCATTTCTTTCCACTTTGTTATCCTTTAGCGGTTACCTCACTTTGTGTTTGTAACTTTGTAGTACTTTGAAGTACATTCGTGCTTCGTACATGCAATCCCTACACAATTGAATTTAACAAGATGGTCACACTTTTGACAGCTGCATCTTTCTTGTTTTTATTTTTTGCCTGCATAACCGTGGGATGAATTCAATTGCAGATATCGGAGTTCCTGGCGAGCCACTATTCCACCGCAGAAGGTCAAGAACAGGCACGAAAAATATTCATTGAAGCTGATTGTGAGGGTACAGGGTAAGTTCTGAGCCTTTGATGGATGGATGGATGGATGGGTAAATGTAGTGGAGTATCAACTATTAAGGAGTGATTTAGGTGCTGCCTTCTGAGCTCCAATCCAGCCTCTAGTGACCACAACACTCACAAACCAGTACCGATCAGTCACAACAGCTGAATGCTACCATTCGTCCTCAGGATCCAACAACTCATAACCAGCGAGTTCAGCAAATAGAAAGTAAGTACTCGATCAAAAATGAAGAAAAAAATTAAAAAAAAGAAAGGGGCTCGTTAGACACTCCTCGGGTGCATATCCCCGAGGAAATTGTCGCTCCACCTATCCTCGAGGATAAAAAGAAAAGAAAAAAAAGGGAAAACATTTTCTCAAGGAATCCTCGGGGCGTCCTCGGGCTACAGCCGTTTTGTGGTCTTCCCCAAGGTACCTCCCGAGGTTCCTCGGAGGTCAAGGATCCGCGATAATCGGAGCAGCAAGGGCACCCATCGACAGCAATAAATTTTCGTCGGCTGGTCCATTGGAGTACCAACCGGCCACCGCACGAACATCTTGGGTCGTCAACGTTCGGCTTCCAGGATCTTTACGCCAACAGTAACCGTTGATGGCTGGGTGGCGTCCGCGAATGTCTTCAACCGGTGTTTATCCTTCTAATCGTCTTCCACGTCTGCATCCTTGGCAGGCTGTCTGGACGCACACGCAAGAGGCGTTCTGCAAAGAAGGGTGTCATCATGGACGGACGGCAGGCGAAGAGCAGGTCTTCAGTGGACCACTCCACGAGCCACCGCGCAGGCCATGTCCTGGCTCGCAGTGCAAGGGTGTGCTGTGACTGCTGTCCTCTACCGTTTGCTCCCTTCATAGTCTCCGTTCGGTGGACCTTCACCGTCGTCGTGGTGTTACGGCCCTGTCGTACGTGTCGTTGATGGCCGACCTCTACTGAAGGCTGCCACTGCTGCGCCTAGTCGTGATTTTGCTTGTCGTGGTCCTCCTATTCCAGGTGTGCATCCTTTATTGTTGATGGGCGACCTCTATCGAAGGCCTCCAGCAGAGAAGACGAGGGATCGACATCTACATCGGCAGCGCGTCGCGCAGACGTTCGTCCACGCTGGATGCAATCGCCATCACCCAAGAGACACATGGCAACATACGCAGCTTCTCCCGGAAGTACTCCTCCGTTGCGTCATTGCATTGCCTGCGATCCTCCCACGCCCCCCCCATCCTCCTTTCCATCCACCACCTCAGCGTCAGTCATGGAAGAACATTGTAACCCATGGCGCAGCAAACCTGAACTACTCACGCCCATCGTTGCTGCCGCCCTCCATCGGCACATGTGTTGCAATGCTCATGAACCACAGAGATACAACAGCCTACGAACTCACCACGACCACGGTAACCTCAGCGTCAAGTCGCCGACGACATTCCCCGCGTGTGCTTGACTCCACACATACGCGCAGGAGGCGGCGATGGCGATGGACCTTCGCGGGGCGCTCACAAATTCGTGACGACTATGAGGACTCCACTGCGCCGCTGCAGATGCCCGTTTCCACCGTCGCCAGTATGGACACCACCTGCCCTGCGTCGCAGTCATGACGTCCAGCACCCAATTCGAAATTTGATTTTCGAACGGGAAGGTCCACTGCTTTTTAAGGGTTTTTCTTTTCCCGTCGCCAGCGCCTTTCAAAATTTCCCGCCTTCGGCAGCTGGACCACACCGTAGCGAGACGGACATCACCCAATGGACCAAGGCATTCCCCCCCCCCCCGGGCAGCCGACTATAATATTATGAAAATGGCCGCAGGGAGCCAAAAGGAATCATCCTTGGGAGACCACCCCAAGGATAGGTGGAACGACAGCGGGAATTTCTTTCAAAACCCCAAAGGAAACTTCCTTCCACCCCGAGGAAGCTACAAGGAGTGTCTAACGAGCCCCAAAGAAAGAAAGAAAGAAAGAAAGAGAAAGAAATGCTTAATGTGAGCATTCCCCATGCTCTTGCCCTCTTTCCAGTGACTGTCCCAGGAGCTATCAGCAAAGACAGGGAGAAAGGGAGTACATAACAAGAGCACAGAAACCAAAAATCGAATAAAAGAAAAATCAGAGAGACAGCATAACGAGAACCAAAACCAAAGCGGTAGAAAATAAAATCGTAGAGGTGTTAGAAGCTTGATAGTAGTCCAACAAAATAACAAATCTTGCCCAGTCCTTAGTCAGGAGAAAAAGCCAGAGCTCCTTCTCATCATACACTTTTGGTTGTTAAACCACCAGTACGTTTCTCAGCTATCGATGCCGAGCCTGACTTCACCCGCTGCGCCGAAAAAAAACGAACCGGTGCGGGCCTCATTTCTGCTGGCGCCACCAGCCATTTCGGTCCAGTAGCACCGAACCCCACCGACCTTCCGTGTTACCCGGCGCGTCATGGCAAAATAGCTGGGAAAGGTACTGGTTGCTTAAAACCACCAGTACAATGCAGGCCTAGAAACACTTGTACTGCTGCACACACAGGCCATCTGCTGAACCAGTAGGTGCCCGGTGGCCTCCTTGCAAAAACCAAAAATTCCAAAATGGTGCTGCTGACCTTTGGATCGCAATAAGGATGGTTGGAGTCTAGTATCATTGTCCTTTTTCAGAGGCCGCCAGTCTCCAGAAAGGTTCTTCCAGGTCTGACGTAAAATCAGGCTCGACAAGATAGGGTCCGAGGGACTCGTAGGTCTGCCATAATCGTTGTGTTTTGATATCTTTTGTTAAGATTTATTCACAATGTTGCTACTCCTTCCTTGACTCTGGGGACACTGTGAACGCCAACAGCTGTAGTCTCTTTTTTTTGTTCAGTAAAAGAAAAGACATGTTTGTTCTCAGGGGTGGGCCATTGTCCGAGCGACTGGCATCTGCTGTTTACTTTCAAGGGTTGAATAACTGTTGCAAACAATTCAGAAATTCCAGATCGTATATATTAAAATTAACTTAAATAACTAAAGTTAAATTATATTCTATAACGTAAATAATTAAAGTTAAATTATATTCTATAGAGCACCATGGTGAGGACTGGTTGCAGCCATCAACTAGTAATTTTTGAAGGTTGCCAAATAATGGGTGAGAAACAGATGCACCCCCTGCCCTGTCAGGATGTATGTCTGTCCTGTAACAACGTCAACACACACGGTGGCAAATCGAGTGATGTTATTCCAAATTGCCCCCCGGGATACTTTTCAGGGTTGGCCTCAAGTACTTTGCATGGTTGCTTTATCTAAGTACCTAACTTTCTTTCCTTCGGTGCTCTCTCTCTCTCTCTCTCTCTCTCTCTCTCTCTCTCTCTCTCTCTCTCTCTCTCTCTCTCTCTCTCTCTC